TAATGTTACAGTAATTTAAATAACGAGTTGGCTGGTTTTTCCTGATAAAAAGTTTGATTTTTATAAATATTTGTTATGTAGTAGGAAGCGTAGAATCGATAACAAAACGAAAAAAACCCCGTCCGATAAAAGAGTGAAATGGTACTAAGAATGCCACAAACTAGAAAATAACCTAGGCTATAAATACCATAATTAATTGAAATTTAGTTTAGTTATAATATTAATAGTATTCAATTTATTTATTTAGCCTATGTTGTTACTTAGTAGAAAGACAACAAAACATAAATAAAAAAAGTATGATAAACCGATTGACGAACTCACAATGATAATTAGGCCTAGTTATATTAAATTTGGCGTTTTCGCAACTCCATTGGCGCTCCGTATATTTGTTGAAAACAAACCGCCACCGAAACGTATTATAGTACTAGCCTACCGTACCTAGAGAGGTCCTTCCTAGCCATGAGAAAACCAAAAGAAAAAGATATGTATTTGTAAATAAAGACAAAACATAGAGTGACAAAATAACCAGTATTTAGACTACACAATTATTTACACATTACTATACTAATCATACCTGCCAGATTTAAATACTCTTTATAATAACAGACATCTTGCAGAACGAAACCTCCGGACGAAAACTGAGACAAGGAAAAACATTAATTTTTATTAGCAACGCAATTATTTAGTAGAGCGCCCTCAGTATATGCAGATGATTTGGCGATAATAAAAAGCTTTGAATACCCGGAAGTAGACTGAATAATAACAAGGCAAGCTCGAGAGCCTACCTTTTCACAAATAGTTGGACTGTTTTAGGTTAATGACATTGTTATCTGCCAGAAATTCGTAGTCATCATTATTTCATTCCAGCGATTATCAACGATTTCAATCAAAAACTACTGCTTGTTTGGTAGAAAATACATGAGTCAAGTGTGAATTAAACAATACTTACTCAGTGCAGTGGAAATTTTGAAGGTAAGTTGTTGAACCAGATGAGCTCTGACCCTGGTTGAACGGTCCCGGCGGACAGCAGGACTGAGGCCTTAACCACCCTAAAGTTATGCCTGTGAATGTTTGCCAGAGCTACTTCGTAAAAGAAAGGTTTGAATGCTGAGGGTATAATGATTTAATGAGACTAATTTCTTGTTTCGTATACAGGTAAAGTTAACACCATGTCACAACCAGCCAGACCTGCTGCACCAAAACCAACTCCAAAACCTGGTGAGTGTCTAACTACCCTCTCCAGAGCAAGACTAAAAATCTGCACACCTCTACACACAGTTTTCCATCTGTTGAGTTGCCAGTGATTTAAACTCGCTTAACAGTACACCAGCCACCATATTATGTTCTGTCTGAGTACTGTGAATGCTCGAATAATAAGCGCAGCTCTCCCAGAAGCAGCGCTGTCAAATAAGCGCCGCACCAAGCCTGATTTTTTAGCTAAGCGCCGCTCTCGAATAAGCGCCAAGGCACTTAAACTGCCCTTAATGTAAGGTGATGAGACTTGCCTGGCAGTTGTTTGCCATTTGCCATATTTATTGCAGATGAGTAAAAAAATACATTATAAATAACTCAATATCTATACCTATAATTCACAATAATTGTTTCTAGATATTTAATTGATTTTTATTTATTGATTTATTTATTTTACTCTTTTTTATATATTTGATATTACATCCAGGTGAATTTCTTCAAAAACCATTACTATATGAGATATAGTTTTTATTGTTCTTATTAGGGTTTAATCCAGTTTATGTTACAGTAAAACCAAGTCTTATTAAATTATGATAATTTATTAAGACTTTTTTTTTCTTATCTTATAACAACATTTCATACTTGAATTTATTTTTTATAACAAAGTTATTATATTTCCAAATTGTTTTCTGAGTTAGAAAAATAAGCTAATTATTTTTTTCCTGTTATACACTTTCCAAACACTTTCATTTAAAAAAAAATTTACAGACACTGCTTGAATTGTTTTTTAAAATCTCTGTTTTATTGGAAATTTATAACTCATATGATCCTTAATTACAATCCCTATGACCAAACAAAACAGATATAGATTTTCCTTCATACCTAATGCCATTCACCTGTACAATGCAATAGCTAAGAGAAACTGATCCTGACTGCTGTTACTCAATATTATATTATCTCAAGTGCAGTATAACTACTTTTATATCAATAATTTTCCATACTTCAACAATGCAATATTAACTGATTTTATGCTTCTTTTACTCCTAACTGAGTGCAATACAACTACTGTTTATATTATTTCACTCATAATTACCTGAATATTTTTAATGATTACAGTAACTAACCTTAATGTACCTTTTGTTGTTTTTTTTAATAATGTACAGTATATATCCTTTTAAATTTTGTAATGTATTTTGTAGTGCTTTTGCATATGGTTTGCCAACAATGAAGTAATTTCTTGTACTGTACATTTACTTTATTTTTTATTCTGTATTCTGTTGTAATTAGTGTTTCCTTACATGTTACCACAAATGAAATATCTTAATAAAGTATTTTACTCGGATTAAAACTGATTTTTAATTTTTAAATTATATTGACAGGTCAAGTAAAAGTTTTTAGAGCACTATATTCATATGAAGCTCAATTTGTAAGTTCTTTTTCTTCCAAGTTCATAAAAATTTTATAATTTACTATATCTACCTTTTTGAAATTCAAAATGACATACAATTCGTCGCTCATATCACGAACTAACACAATCAAAGTAGATTGTGTTAGTTCATGAAATCACAGTAGCACGTCAGAATGAGCGCGTATTGGTTGTCAAGCAATTTTGTATTTTTTACCGCACAAAAAGTCCTTAACAACAACATCACCTATTTTGACGCACTTTCTTGATTTCACTAACTAACACAATCTACTTTGATTGTGTTAGTTCGTGATGTGAGCGACGAATTGTTCCAGGGGTTTTAAAGAAAAAAACATTAGAATATGGACTTAACAACATTAAATATACGGTTCAGTTCATTAAATAATCAAATCAAATCAAATATGCATTTATTTTCCATACAATACAGTAATACAGTATACAATAAGAATGCAAATTGAAACAAATACATTGTATGGAAGGAGGCTACAGTAAGTTCTAGTAGAGTTTTAAGACGTAGCCACCTTTAACAAAAAAAGTTGGAAAAGTGACCGATACCAATGTTTAGCTGTATTTAAACTACTATAATCACAGAATGATATACCAATAAAATTATAATAATAATAATTAATTATAATAATTCCAATCCAGTTTTGAACACAACAATCTTACCAAGTATGGAATATTATACAAATATTGTCTGCTCACAAGGGGAATGGTGAAATCTACGGTCTCCACGGAGATGTGGAGACCGTAGCCTATCTTCCAGAGGGTCGAATCTAGAGCAGTCAATATTTGTTTTATATACCTTATACATAAATTCTAGGAGACCTATAAAAGTAATGAAAATAATACACACCAAGTAGGCCTAGGCTTACTTCCTAGGCCTAGACGATCAAAGGTCCAATCTCTCTCAGCATCGTAGAGGTCTCCTTTGCCGTTCATACATGTCATAAATTACATAGCAATCTAGAGATTGCACATCGCGTGACAGGGTAAAAAAGTATTATAATAATTTAGGGTGAGGGTACTTTCTATTGCCAGTCAGATGCCAAGAATCTGTGTATGCAGTATACATACACAGATTTATATTGAGAAATGTTTTGTTATTCATCGTAGAGCCATAAGTCACTAACTACCATCATTCATTTATGAAATGGATATTTAATTATTTCATCTACTTTCAGTTTCTTTATGCACCCTCAGTAGGGTCTACGGAGCATACAGTATTGTCAATCATACCTGTACTGAAGCTCTCTCCACACTATCACATTTTTTATGTCTAATTTGTGTAATGTGGCCATATTTGGGCATGATGATGTCATATTACACCCAAATATGGGCGTATCGTAATAGTTTGTCACATACAGTTTTATAGTGTGGACAAACCTTTAACACAATTTCTTGTTGATCTGACTTTAATATACAGTAATCTATGATTTGGTTTGGGCTGTTAAAAATAAATTTCTTAGTTTTACTTTCATATGAAACAGTTGACTTCAAATGTTGTAATTTTTTTTTAAAGTGTTTTCATTTTTATATGTTTGCCTTTGATAAGTTAATAATCTATAGTTATTTTCCTGTTTTATTTTTCTTACAGAATGATGAATTGTCATTTGACGAAGGTGACCTCTTATATGTCTTAGATATGGTATGTTTTGAATCTAAGATTATATATATGGTAAATGTGCTTCAATTCCACAATTATCAGTTCAAGGCTTGTGAATCCCAGAATGATACATCCCCTGTAAATGGTTGAAATAATTGATTGTACCCTATACCAAAATTGTGAAATTGAAGATATTCAACACAAAACTGTTTGGAATGTTTAATAGGTACTTCTAATATTGAAGATAAAATTTAGCAAAAGGACAATAACTCAATTATTAATACTATATATTAGACTTTGAAACCTTTTGTAAAAGAAATTTTAAATTAACATAGGATAGGAAGTGTCATTAAAAATATTTTCTTCATACTTCTCATTGTCGTTCTGTTATCTGTTCAATACTGCCAATTTCACCATTTACAAGACTTAGTGTAGCCTCTCCATTGGTATAATATATTTTTGCAAGAAAAAGTCAACCCTGAATTTTCTATATTTTGAGTCACATTTTTTATTTACACTATCAAGGTTTTATTTACATTATCAAGGTTTGTATGTTTGCATTTATTTTATGTTCATTATTATTCTGTTTTACAATGTTTTTCCCATTATTGCACTCCTTATCTTTTTATGTTGTTTGCCTTTTGATGTTTATGTTTTTTGTTATTCTTTATGTTATATTGACCTGTATATTACTTCCTGGTCTGGATCATTTATGCCTTTTTTCTTGTGTCCTTCCTAGTCAGTTTAGGGTTTACTGTACTTTTTCCTATGTCTCTGTATATTTTACAGTCTACTTTGTGAATACTTTATGTTACACTTTTTGTGTCCATTTTTTATTGCTGCTTTTTGTAATTGTATAACTATTTAACATGTAAATTGCATGCAATTTGGCCTCTGGGCCACGATATGTGTAATTTTTTAATATAATTGAATGGAATTGAATTGTGTTTTTGACATAGAGCAATCCCAGTTGGTGGAAAGCTAAAAGTGGAAAACAAACAGGATTGATCCCAAGTAACTATGGTAAGAATATATAAACCTATAAATTAGAATATTTAAATTCAATTTCACCCTCTGACCCCTTGCTGGCACCACCGCTGCATATGATTTTTTCATCATCATTAAGATAAAGTGAACAGCTTAAGTCGTTCTGCTAAAATAAACTTGGGAGATATTTACACGACCTTGGTCGCTGCTATCTTTGGGTTTCAGTTGAAAGGCTGAAATGGGAGTTTTAACAGCATGTCATTCGAATGAGATGTTTAATTTTTGGTCCTGTGTGCAATATGGCTTATGTGCACATTAAAAAATGTGGCAACCTCTGGAAAAGAGTATGGGATTGTCTCCTGGTTTACTGCCAAATTTACCACCAACAGGACACCACTGGATATGTTATGTCTGACTGACAAAAATACGCCCAAAATAACACATGATTGTACATTAAGAATAATTTAATATTTGTTATCCATAGTGGAAATGAGTATGGAGTCGGTTCCAAACCCACTTCATGAAGCTGCCAAGCGTGGGAACCTGGACTTCCTTCAGGAATGTCTTTCGAATGAAGTGAGTTATTTAACAAACAATATTGTCATTCAAACTTAACTGTTGAACATGTTAAACAACATTTTAAACATTTTACTTATTAATTTTTTTTCCAGGTATCTGTTAATGGGCTTGATAAGTCAGGGTCCACTGCCCTGCACTGGGCAGCCTCTGGAGGACACATAGATTGTATGAAAGTTCTTCTCTCCAAAGCAAACATTTCAATTAATGTTCCTGTAAGTATACCATTAAAATTATTTTGTTACTCTTTTTCGAAATTTTATTCTAAAACACTTTTCTTAAAAATTTTTGTGATTTTTAACAGGTTATAGATTTGTTGAAAGAGTCCAGTGTGTTCTGGTTTTTCTGGAATCTTTTTTTTATTTTAGATTTTTAATAAATCGTAATTATGCTTTTAAAATACTATTTCAAGTCGCCTGCTAATTGTCAGTGACGGTTTGAGCAGATTGTCATTATAAATGACCTGTTGCGTACACATCGTCGAGTTGTGTTCTAAGTGGAATCTTGTTGGCCGATGACTGTTGAATGAAGTGTGTGCCATGCTTTAATTTATGTCATTCATTTACTTATAATGTGTTGATACTTTTTACAGAACAAGTTAGGAGATGCACCTCTGCACTCAGCTGCATGGAAAGGTTTTCCAGAAGCAGTCAAACTTTTGCTGGCAAAGAACGCGCGTACAGATATTAAAAACAATGACGGCAAAACACCATATGACCTTGCCTCAAAACCAGAAATAGCAGTTCTTCTGAAACCAACTTTTACTAGTAAGTATATCACCCAAATTCTAAATTTGCCAAATGCTAATAGTAAACACACATCCTTGGTGTAACAATGTATTAATAAGTTTAGTATTTTGTTTTATTTAAAAAAATTTATAAAAGCACTACCCATTATTTTCTTGTTAAGGTTTATTTCAAAATATTGTAGTCTCAATGAAATGCTACATATTTAAGTTAAAAATAGTATATTAGCAGTAATTAAAAATGGATTAAATTGTTACAATGTAAACAAAATTAAGTTTCACTAAAAAAGTATTTACAGTCTATGAGTTTATTTAGTTAAGCTTTCTTTAATCAATTCAGTGACTAGCACTGCTTTCCAAGGAAGCCCTTGGTACATAGTGTAAATATAACAAAAAAAAGTTTACAATCATGAAACTCAAAAGTAAATCAAAAACAATGATAAGATAAAACTGAAATGAAAGCAGACAAATGAAAACTACCAAACCAAAATTTAAAAAAAACCATTTAAATTAAACAAAAAGAAAGGTACAGTCTTACTGAATACAGATAAAGGCCTCTTTTTTAAACATATTAATAGAAAGAGAATCATAATTGTTACGAATGTTGTGAGAAAGATTGATTTGTAGTTGATTTTATCTCAATAAAACGGCATAAAAATATCGTATAGATAGCTGTGATGTTCTTTTTTAATTGACAATATTCTTTAATAACATATTAATGGTAAATATTCATGTTTCTCTGTAGTATTATTTCAGCAGTCAAGTTCAAACTATATATAGTGGTTAATAATTATTATTTATTAATCTTGTTTCTTTTTTCAGGAGTGGATGATGGTGACTACCTTGATGATGAAGACTCAGATTAATCAAATCATTTTGTGAACATTTTATGAACATACTTAGAGAAAATTATTTTTGTAGAAACTATAAACTGGACCAAATCCAAGCAATACATATTGATTCCTATGCATATTTTAGCATACGAACAATATCAACACTCTTGCCATATTTTTTATGTATGTGCTTGAGTATGGATATGTGTGTAATAACAATGAGTTTGTAAACAAACAGACTGTAAAATCATACAGTGTAGTTCATGCTGGGCATGGCATTGGTTCATGTTTTGCAGTTTTCTTTTTATGAATATTTTGGTTGTAACTATACATAATATAATAACAATTTCCCGGAAATATATTCAGGTACCAAGCATTGTTTGTAAAATATGCAAAAGAGTTTATCACAAATTAAAGTCACATGTTACATCTATGCTGGAGACAATAGAGTTGGTCAATGGAAGTCAACACTATGGCAAGTTTATTCTAGAAATACATTTTTATTTTGATTTATTTATTATTCAATATATGCTTCAACAAGTTATTGGTCTCAATTAAGTTTAAGTTAGGGTTCAGAATACACAGGGTCAGATCATATACAGATATGGTACAGTCTTAGAAATTACCTTAAAATGCTCTTCACAGCATAGGAACCTAAGGCTTCACAGAGGTCTGGTTTGTGTACGTGTAAACTTACTATTATTTTACACAGGCCAAAATGTGTAGATTCTGGTAGTTGGGGGAAAAATATGTAATACTTTTAAGATTTAATGTTTAAAAGCTCTACCACATTTTGTTTATAAGCATTGTTTATTGGTTCCTCAGTTTTTGATATCTTTAAATAATGTTTCAGCTTTGCATAAACAATGAGTGAGCAGATCAAAACCTTTGGTATATCATATGTTGGAAGGTGGTTCTAAAAAGAATGGAACATTTGATTGGAGATAATCTTGACATTTTGAGAATAGTTTGTCACCAGAAGAATGATGATGGCATTCCTTTCTGTGGTCCCATGTAGCATTGCTAGCTAAATTTTGTTACTGACTTGAAATGTTATAAGCAAGTTGGTTAAAATACTAAAAATAACAATTTTTTTCATTGGAATAGGAACTTGGTTCTACATTTCAATTTGTGCACCTCAGGCCATTCTGCACCCCCCCCCCCAGACCAAGACCAGCCTATGCCCCTGCTCTTTTCCATCTTACCAAAAGCATTGAAAACACATTAAAGGGAAAAGGTTCTTTTCACACTTCAATCACCTGTTTTATATATATATATATATATATATATATATATATATATATATATAATTAAAACGGAACAGTAGAGAAAATCCGATCAGAATGACAAAATAAACAACTAAGTATCCACTGGAAGGAATCCCAATATCTGCAGACGGATCCGATTCGGCCTTCCAGGACTCATCAGTGCAGCTGGGGTATAGACCCAAAAGAAACGTTTGACCAGCTTAGGAAGGGCCCAAACCAGTCCCACTACCACTAATGATTACAGAGCTCCTCTATATATATCTATATATATATATATATATATATATATATATAATTTTTAATGGTATTTTTGGTAATTTTATGTAGCAATTTACTTTAAATTTTTTCACAATGGTTGTAAGTTTAAAACAATGTGAATAAAATATTTTAAAGCTGGCTAAATGTTTTAGTATTTAGTACAATGACTGATTAAAACACATGTTTTCTTTCAGTTTTGCTGTTAATATATTAATGTAATGTAGTGCAGTCGAGTAGTAGTGTGTATTTTTTGTTTATAGTCTTTCATGCAATGTTAACATAACTAAACTTACCATTTTGAAATATGCATAAAGGTCAAAATTCAATAATCAAAAATTATCCATTATGTACTTCCTGTGTGGTAGGTTCCATTGTTTACATACTTTACCTTGACCTTTGACATAGTAATACACAGTTGGAACTACAAGATTTGCTAACCTATGATATATTTTTTATGTAGAACCATAGGAATGTGGAATATAACCCTAATATACTTCAGTTCAAAGGTACTTTGTCCATAAATGTAATATTTTAATTGATACAAAAAACAAATAAAATTGGTTTTTTTTCTATATAAATACAGTAAGACACTTATTTTAATGATTATATAAATATTGGTTTGTCACAAAATAAAAAATTGGAAACCATAATTTCCTAAATTGTAACTGAATGATAATGTGAGATTATTACTTCCTGTTTTGTTTGCATTTATAAGTATGTAACTATGAAAAGATTGTTAGCAAGAAATTCAAAAAATCAAGTAAAAAAAATTAATTTTCTTTGTATTTAAAAGCATCAAATATTTTTCAACTTCCAATGAGAAAGTGGTCACAAAAACAATTCAGTTTTGTTTACTACCACAACCCTTGAAATTGTTTACCACCACAATTAATTTTCCCCTAAATTCTAAGTTGGTATGCGCAAAAAAGTAGCACAGTACTATTTTATGGCATCTGTTTGGTGTGAAAAATTTTCATTCTTGTTCAACTTTGAATTGTAAGCTAATAACTAAATTAGATATAAAATGCAAACAATTCAAATAACTTATTAGGCCTGCCATAACATCTTGATTGCTTTGGAAGTAGTTTAAATGTTTAATAATAATAATACTTTTATAAAGCGCCTAATGCAAAAAAATAGCCTCAAAGCGCTGAAAGATGCCAGTTGAAGTTAGGTGTATTGTAAAAAGAGGTCTTTAGTGCCTTTTTAAAACAGTCAATGTTGGGTGAGTTTTGAATTACCAATGGAAGTGTGTTTCAGAGGGTTGGCCGATCGAGGAAACGCTTCTATCACCAATAATGAACTTTTATATTTGTGGTTTATATTGGAATTACTTCATGCCAGTAATTTCTCTAGGTATAATTAACTAAAATTTAGATATACTGCACTGCTTCAAATCATAGAAAAAGCTATTTAAATTATTACCACAGCAATCGTTGATAACATGCAGTCAGTGGCCTACATGAGGTTTACACAATAAGCTTATTGGAATTTTGTGATCAAATTTCTCGTGATTAATATGGATGTACAGTATTCTTGAAAATGATCAAATAGATTGAAACGTTGAATCTCAAAATCTCTGTGTCTCTTTTCGGAGTAACTGTCTTTTTGTTTTAATATGGACGTGGTCCAGCAAAAACAGCTACTTATGTGAATAGTAATGTACTGTAATGCCAATACTTAAAAAAACTAAATAGTTATTTACATTAAAGCAATTGGATTGAAGCATGTGATTTGATATGTAAAGAGTTCTCTATAAATAGCTACATTCTAGAGGGCGCTCCACATTTTCCTTACTTGGTCAAAGATTCGCGCGAAATTTTGTCTTGTACACAAATCAAAAGAACAAAAATATTACTGTCAGTACTCTACGAAGTAAAAGTTGAGACCAAAATTATATACTGTTTTTAGCGTAAGTATTTGTGGTTTATATATGGTCATTTACAAGATCAGAACGAAATCGCTTAATTAAGGCCTATCTATGGACGGCATACAAAATATCTTGCTACAATTGCTAGGCCTAGGCTAGCCTACTACTAGCTACTAGGCCTAGCCTAGGTAGGTGGCCCATACCATACTTCTACTCACTGACACCGCCCTTAGTTAGGTCAGGCCTAGGCTAGCTAGGGCAGCTAGGCCTAGGTTATGCATGAATGAAGCTGTTTCTATGCCTATGGACGGCCCTCCTAGGCCTAGGCTCGTAATGTAGGAGACAGTAACTGTGAAAACCAGACTTAACCCAGAACCCAGTAGTACCATCAATTCCATAGTAGGCTAGGCCAAGTGGTGGTAAAATGTCGAAACGATCCAGATTCGATCTACCCCAGGTCTGGGCCCTAAACTAAACAGAAACAGTAAGCCTAAGCAGAAACCACCTCATCATGGATGCATATCAGCATGCTACTGCAACATTCCATATTTCTAGTATAACAACACATCATTTTTATTTTAATTATATTTTTATTAGTGATCAAAATTGCAACATGGAATTATCAGACCATTCCGTGAACGATGATGATGAGTATGCCGGTACTGATGACGACATCCCTCCAGAACCACAGGAACTGCCTCCACTGGAAATGCCAGAATCATCACAAGTAGAAAACCCAATGGAAGGTTTGTAGGATTCTTTCTTTATTTAGTTATGTTTATGAATGATCATTCATATGGTTTTAAAGTTCTTGTATTCAGTCAATACTAGGAGGATGGAGAATTGACTCGAAAAAGCTGATATTGCAGCATGTATAATCATAATAATGCACTTAGCTCAACATCCAACCGTTTCAGTACTGATATGGAAGAATTGCAGTTCCAGGTAGAGGCAAAAGTAGTGCTTCCCCACCAGTAGCTAAAAAGGAACACCTCAAAATCCTTTTTGATTGCCACTTGTGTGATCTGCCACTAGAATTTTCCCTTTGAATATCTTTGGTCTAAACACATCCCATATTTTTTAATTGACATTGTGGCTTGAAGTACAATGATCCAGTAGAGAGGGGGAGGGTGGAGGGGCTGATGCAACCAATGTGTTATAATATTTTGTCATTTGGAATTGTTATGCTTGATCAGGAATACTCCCTACAGAGAGTAGTTAAAACAATTTATGCACGTTTTCAGTATTTCTAATTTAGCCAGTGTGGTAATGAGAAGCATTTTGGTATTTTGTGTTAAAAACACTATTATTTTATAGTCAAAATAGTACATAATTGCTTGTGTTTATACAGTTTTTAATATTTATATCTTGTACAGAGGGTGATATTGGAGCCATACTTGATGCTCATGCGGCTACTACTGGAGCAAAACAAACACAAGTTCGTGCCAAGAGAATAGTTCGGCGACCTCAACCTAAACTAGATCCAGCCAGGTACAGCAGATGTATTCCATAGTATCCCTCCTACAGTATCCTAAGCATTTTACATTATATTTTTTTCTTTAAAAATCCATCATACAGTGTATAGGCCTACTACCTGAATATTGATTATGTATATGTGCCAATGTATATGTAGCAGACCATGCCAACAATGACATGAATGTTCATCACATTTATAAACTAATACAGATAATGACATTTTCATTTTATAGTATTATCATATGCCTTGACCTTTGACATAGACAGGTGCGCTTGAAACTATGAGATGGTTTATTGTTTTGAAATGCACATACTATTTCTTATGTAGTGCATACTACTACTTAAAGCAGTTTCCAACAGCAGTGTTTCTTTGCTGAACAAGTTTTCAAACCTGTCACTTTGTAGAAATAATTTAATGAACTATATTTCACTTTTTGTAGGTTATCTGGTGATCGTGGAATACCAATGCTATTAAAACACTTTGAGAAAGTGAAATTCAAGGGCAAAGGTTATGAGACAGAAGATTTGAACACATTAATGCACACTATGGAACACTGGGCCCACAGACTTTGTCCTCGAATGACATTTGATGACATCATAGCCAGAGTGGAAAAACTTGGAACTAAAAAACCAGTTCAGGTGTGTGTGAAGAAAATCCGATTGGACATACCGATTATTGATGAAGATATACCAGCACCCGAGAACATGGGTGCGGAGAACGCTCAGTTAGGAACAGCAGAACCAGCAGTTGACGAAGAGGAATGGAATTTTGATGATCTATTTGCAGATAAGCCAACTACTAAAGAACCAGCCACACCTGCCCAACCACCATCCCCACCTCCTCTTCAGCCAATTAGCGTAAGTTTTTTTCTTTTTTACACCTATGGCTTTTTTTTTCTTTTTTTTGTGAAACCAATGCCCACCTTAATGATTTAAATTTAAAATAAACTTTAATTTTTAGCCTGTTAATGCACCTGCTGCAATGAAAAAATTGAAATTTCAGAATATCTTTCATTTTATCCACTCTGTGGCTGCCGAGAAGTGTTTGCCATAAAGGGGATAGATAACAATATCTGCAGTGTGAAAAGGTATATAGGTCGTTAAACTGCACATGTATGTTGTAATATTTTTTTTAATTTAAAATCCAAATCACGTTTTAATATAGAATACTCTGACGGCTGAACAACTGAAACGAATCGAGGAGAAGAAACTCCTGGCAGCTAAACGTAAGGCTGCAAGATTAGCACAAGCTGCACAAGGCACACAGAGAACTGAAGAAGACCAGGAAAGCCAAGAAAACCAACAAGAAAAACAGGAAAACCAACAGGACACACTAGAAAATCAGCAAAGAACTCAGAAAAAACAGGAGTGTCAACAGCCAGATGACTTTGAACAATCAGAAAAACAGAAATCAACATTCACAGAAAATGAGGATGATTGTGTCATGGAAAGTGAAAATAATGTAGTGGAAAAAATGGATACTAATGAGGTCATTGAACTTGAATAACAATCACTAATTAATAGCTCTAAGCAAAGTGTATAGGAACTAAAAAGAGCACAGTGCACTTGTGAGTGTAAACAAATGATACACCCCTTTACTTTGCAAGATCCGACGCCTACTGCGTTTGGTTATCACTTTCAGTTACCCAGTAGGGCCCCGCACAATTTATGTGTTCCACATGATACACTTTCTTCATAGAGGGCAATAGTTAGAATAATGCTACTATTATTAAAAACGATTGCGTTTTAGTATCTTACATGGGGGCACACTTCTATAAGACAAGCGAACGCAGAGGGTGCACTTTTTGATGATAGGAACTTCCATCGTTACTAGGTAGTGACATTTAGAAATGAGTTTTGTGAACTTTTTGATATAATTTACAGAACCAGCTTCTATGTTAGTGTACCTGTTGAACAAGTAAACATGCTTGATTCTTAATTGTCTATTGTTGTAAAACCATGGCTTACATAAAATTGCAACAGTGGTTACACTGCATAGCTGTCCCTAACATAATCAGAAAAGTTCCCAAATTTGACTTATAAATCTGCGTCAACAGATAGTGTATAGTGACTTTATGGAAAGCAGTCTTAATGCAAAACAAGACACTGAAGTTTGAATGGACAATTTACAACAAACCGTAAAACCTTGGATTAAAGCCCAATGGGCTTAATCTCGAGGTGAAGCCCATCTTGAATTGAAGGCACTTCTTTAGTTTGCAAAATTAGTCTCGTCAAGATAGCATAGGCTTCTTTTCGAGATAGTACAGTACATACACTACATGATTTTTAAAAAACAAAATAAATTGAAAACAAGCTTGGTTTATACAGTAGTTTTGGTGATTTAATACACTCCATGATGCAGAATGATGTTACATTGGTCATATTTACTTTTTCATAGTACAAACTCACAAAACTTACAGCATTCATTTCGAAAAGCAAAAAAAAAAAAAAAAATTAGCTCAGGGCCTCAATTCAAGATTTTACGGTATGCTGTCAATATAAGCTGTCAGCTATTGGTGTATAGTGACTTTATGGAAACCAACCTTGATGCGAAACAAGACACTGAAGTTTGAATGGACAATTTACAATATATACTGTATATTAATAAATGTATTACTTGAAGATAGATCAAAGTTTTTATTTTATCTGTATTATATCATCACCATAGCAGAGGTTCATCAAGGAGTGACTTTAGGAAGGGGATCCACAATGTGAAAATGACAACATAAATTTAAATATTAATGTTCAGAAAAGTAAAGTGTAGTGTATACAATCTAAACATTTTCCTTTCATGACTGAATGGTCCAATGACATGAAATATGGAATACAGACACGACTACATTTTCTACCATAAAAACCATCAGAATTCTGCATATCTCTCTTGTGTGTCATTACATTTTATATAATTCCATACTAACCGATAGACTGAAAAAAAATGGAACCACAGCACAGCTCTTGAAGGCAATTTGTGTTTTACTTTTGAATATTAAACATTTATCTGGAAAAGGTACTTTTAGAGACTCATCAGCACAGCTCTTGAAGGCAATTTGTGTTTTACTTTTGAATATTAAGCATTTATCTGGAAAAGGTACTTTTAGAGACTCATCAGCACAGCTCTAGAAGGCAATTGGTGTTTTACTTTTGAATATTAAACATTTATCTAGAACAGGTACTTCTAGAGACTCATCAGATAGCACAAGGTGCACCAGAAACTGCAATATTAGTTCAACCTTTAGGTACTTTGTTTATTCCCACACCACTATGAAAATGTACTAGAACATCAGCTATGTTAATCATAAATAACTAAAGACATACAATAAAACTCTCGATAAACATATACAAAAACAATTTCATATTTATTTACAAATTTGACAATAGTATTTACATAAAGTTTACTAAAGCAACTGATAGACGAGCAATGTATCCCTGAATGCTATTAATTCATTTTTAATCATTTTATCATTTGATTTTAATTATCATAATTTAATCATTTGATTTTTATGTAGGTGACTAAAATAATTTTTTATTCAAGTTTAAAATAATGTATTCCTTAATTTTATCATTTTTAAGCATGTCACCTACATGTTAGTCTATTTTTAAAGAATTGCTACAGAATATACAAAAAGAGTGTGAATATAAAAAATTGATAGAAAATATATGAATTTTATTCACAATGCATTCCTTAATTACATATTATTTTTATTCATTTGATTTTAATAAAGGCCTTAAACATAATATACTTACAATAGGCCCTATTTTAATTTATTTTATGTATACAACATTAAAATCATGCAAATGTGGAATATTGCTAAACTTTTCCTCAAAAGTCTGAAAGTGATGCACAAGAAAATTTACACTGACTAAATTATTTTATGGTTCCAACTGAAAATGAAACCTTGTGGTGAACAGTGGGTAAACAACTTAATTTAATAAGATTTTGGGGCAGTCTTCTTACAACAGTATCAAAAGTCCCCTTTGAAATTACAGTATAGGCTATAACCGAGGAATTCACTGAATCTGCAAAATTCAACAAATCAGATACTTTTATACAAAGCACTTTAACATAATTTTCAGAGCACATGCTAAGCAAGTTCCTTTGGCAAATTATAATACAGTAATTTTTCCATTGGCATCAAAACGTCCAATTATGCACAATTAACTATCCAATCACCATGCTGTCAATAGAACAAGTCAAATAAAGTGAGCCCTCTATAATATTTGTTTACTTCAACCATTGCAAGTTGAGCATAATAGTTCATATATTTTTAACTAATTATTGGTATTAAAACACCTGAATTTTCAATCATTTCAAAGCATTTTACAGTATATCAAAAATATATTTGTTGAGGCTTCTCCGATCTGGAATGTTAAGAATTATAAAAAAATCACTGAGATGAAATTATAAGGTCACCGGAGGAATATACAGTATACCATCTTGAGATACTACATGCATTTAATGAACAGCCTTCTGCATGTTAACAAACATAACAAAATTATGAACATTCTTGAAGAGCCATTGTTCTAAAATAGTTCAACAATTGATACATTTTCGAATTGCTTTGGCTGAATTGATTATCTTTAACAACACTGACATCAACACCGTGACTGTCACCAGCATCTATATGCATTTCCCTTACAGCACTCACAACACCCTGAAGACAAAAACAAAAATGATTACTATTATTTTTATGTTATAAACATAAACTACAGTATATGTAGAATTTTAAACACAATACAATCAGGATGAAGGCGGCAACATAAGAAGTAGAAGACCAAGAAAAATACATAAATCGACCAATTCCTCCCATACGCTGTGGAAGATATGATATCAGCACAAAAATGAAAAGTTGATAATAACAGACATCAATAATGCGCCAATTCAAACGTTTATCAAAGGCGCGGTGGACTAGATGTTGCACTTTCAATAACTTTCTCCTCCCCTGAGGGTCACTTCATGTTCTCAGCAGCTGGTAAATCGGCACACTTTTCATCTGTCTACGACAAGGGCTGAGTGGACCAGTACACTAGGGTAACCCCCTACTCGTCTTGAAAAAATATACTGGGTTCAGACACATCAACCAAATCTCTCGTGAAATTGAATGGATTCTGCAATTTAAATTACTTTTTCTTCTAAAGAAAAATTTTATTCCATTTTTTGGTCCAATGAATTGTACCACCACAGTCTCTAGATACGTAAAGCAATTCTTCAAAACAATGATTCTTAATTTATATAAGAGCACCTTATATTAAATTTATAACTCACCTCTAGTGCATCTTTACTAACAGTTGTGTTTCCTTGCTCTGTTTGCATTTCTTCATGTGGTTTATTGCTCACCAGTTCGTACTTAATGGAATGCGAGTGGCAATCAGATAACTGCACAGTAATACGAACCTAAGAAAATAAGACAACTTTATTTACACCATATTCAAATTGAATAAATGAAGGAATGAGAATAACACTTGGACATGCGCACAATCACATGCTGGGACAATCCAACGGTTCTATTTTTGTCGTAGGTGTGTTTTTAAAGGAATAATGGTAGGCAGTTAGTTGGTTTATCCAGGTAAATATTCAGAAAATAGATGTAAATTATTTTCACCAAAATAAATTAAAATCCCTCATTGGTTCTATTTTTGTTGTAGGGGTGTTCGTAAATGAACAATGGCAATTAGTCGGTTTATCCAGGTAAATATTCATGAAATAGATGTAAATTATTTTCACCAAAATAAATTTAAATCGCTCATTGTTTTGCATATTTTCACATATAAACCAATGTACAGTTACAGATTAAGGTGGGTAGGTGGAATGTATATTAAATACAAGATAGTAATATATGCCTATGTATCCAGAGAGGGCTTGGGCAGCTGTGCTAACAACTAATGCCACACCTAGTTGAGTCCTCCTTTTTTATCTTCTATTCATCCCTGAATGTGGAAATGTTCAACTTACAGTCACATGATCAAATAAATTGTAGGTAGTAGATCCAGTGAGTGTGTTTACTGTGACAGAGTAACCAGACCTTGAAAGCGAGCCTGTGATATTAAATTTGATAAAGATACCATAATTATGTGATGAGCTAATAAAACTTGAAAACTATAATTTAATATCTAAATTGTTTATCTTTATATAATTAAAATGTTAGTTTGAATTAAATTATTTTAAATGCATAAATAATTGTTCTGTTTTGTGTGGAATTTGATAAATTATTTAATCTGATCTAAATTTTATACTGTGCTTTTATCATCATTAGAATTAAGATTTTGAGGATAAACATACCTGCAACCCACACTGGCTTGGTTTGTCCAGTCGCGTCACGAACAAGACCATTTTTATCTTTTAAAAACACCGCCCCTTTCATACCATACCTAAATTAAAAAATGATGATAGTAGATTTTGTAGCCTTATATATCTCATTTTTTTAAGACCTCAAACTAAACTCTAATCAGAATTTCTTAAAGGGGGTTTACTGTGAGGTTTAGGAGTGTGGCTAGGCACTATGGTGGGTCCAGATGCACTTTTGGGAAATGGTCATAGGGGAATTCCCCGGAGCTAAAGCATTCCAGCATGTAAATGCAAAGGAAAGGGGTGGTTTGGTTTATCAGAGGTTTACCAGAGGGAGGAGGGGTTTGCTTAAAAAGTGCTTAGTCCAAAGAAAAAATTACCCAAACTATCCAATCCACTCATCACTCAAGTCTGTTAGTGAATTTCATAACATTAACTCAGCTTTCCATGTTTAATCGGACCTAAACAAAAGCAGCACATTTCTCACCACACTGAAAACATGACCACGCTAGAAACAACGCCACAGTATTGGCATTTATAGCCATGTCCCACCCTTACACACACTGTGTATACTGGCCTTTATATTAGCCTTTTCACACCTAGTCTCAGCTATGTTCAGTTTTCACCACTCAGCCACAAGTCCTACTTTCCAATCATATAAGCATATCCTTGTTTGAACTCTGCAGATTATTATTATAGGCTAATGATGATTGATGCAACTCAATCGAAACATTGAGACATTCTCAACAAGAAAACAGTTCTTTTCAGAACTATCTACCTGGTGTACCGCAAGATTTGTTATATTATTACTTCGCCGTACAAACCTTCAAACAATACTCAGTCGTTTTAGCAAATGCCACTGATAATATACTCAGCTGTGTGTGGGTAAGTATTCTAGAATGTTGCATATAGTACTGAGTGCTTTAGCATTCAAAGCTTCCAATGAAGCGCTTACCTTGGAACAAATATTAAGAAACCATTTGATCGTATGCTCTCTATGATAGCATCTACCGTACAACATTCATCTACCTCAGCATTTTTGTCTTTGAAAAAAATTGTTTGAAACAATTCCTGCGAGTCCTTCTGGGCATGCTGCGAAGCCTATAATTATATAAAGTCTGGGTTAAGCTAATTAACTTGAACAATAAAATTTTGAATTTCTTACTTCATTTTTATGTAACTTTTTAGAATTCAGTCAATTTTAAGTAAAAGATATATTATCCTTGTACTTTGGTAAAGTTGTAAGTTTTTACAAGTTTGGTTGCTAGAACATACCCTGTGCTTATTATTTATATGCTCACATAATTCCTGGAGATCTTTATTATTTAGAACACTATTGGAGTCATTATTCCCAGCAGCTATTAATAATCGGTGAACCTGTCAATAGAAAAATTTTACATATTAATATCTATATTAAATCTATATAAATATAACTTTATCATTATTATATAATTAATGCTATGTCAGTGTGATATATCAAGACCCACAGCATTTGGCTTATATACCATGGATGAGTGTTCCTTAGCAGGTATTTCATTTATCATACAAATTAGCTAAATGTAGTATTTTTCATGAAAATGTAAACTATTTTTCATATACTATACTCACAATTACATCAGCATATCGACGAATAGGAGATGTGAAGTGGGTGTAACAATCTAAGGCCAATCCTACAAAAACACAATAGGAATATATACCGTAATACAACTTAGCTGAAAGTAATAAATGTGTGTACAGTAACTACTGCAGTGCTTCATAAAGTTTTATAACACACCTAAATAGATCCCTGTCATTTGATTGGTGGATTTTTATATGACGTGACATTGTTTATTTACCCCTTTCGTCTTTCATGGAAATAAACATCCATGCATTTTCTTTCCATAATACAATCTTTTGATTGGTTAAAAGATGTGGGACTTTTCCATTTAGAAAAAGGGGAGATTTTTTCATAAAATATCCAATGAAAAGAATCTCCATTCAAAAAAAAGGTAGATACTTTTTGAATAAAATATCAAATGACAAGAATCGATTTTAGGTGTGTTATAAAACAAATAATGAATGTTTTTTATTTGGCAAATAAATAATAGTTTCATTCGTTAAAAGATTGACTGTTACTTTCAACTCATTAAAATATTCTTTCTATTGTACTCATAAACATTCATTATTTGTATATTATAACACACCTAAATAGATCCCTGTCATTTGATTGGTGGATTTCGTATCATGTGACATTGGTTAACTTATTTACCCCATTTCATCACTCATCATAAAAATTTAGTTCCACCATGAATTTTTATTTCCATCCGTGCATTTTCCTTGCACCCATTTTTTCCCATTGCACGGTGCCTAGGATATGATATGCCAATCAACTTAATACAATCATTTGATTGGTTAAAGAGATGCTGGACTGTTCTATTTAGAAAAAGGGTAGATTTTTTTCATAAAACATCAAATGACTAGAATCTCCAATGTAAATTTTTTTCATAAAATATCAAATGACAAGAATCTATTTTAAGTGTGTTATAAATGAAATAATAAATGGTTTTTATTTGCGCAATGGAAAGACTATTTTCATGATTGATGATCATTACATATCAACCTAATCACATACGCACTCTCAACGAGATTCGGAAAAGTGTTAAAATTCACTAAAATATATGGTGGTATCTGATACTATTTTTTCAAACCCCTGGTGGTCAAAGTGTTAAGAAAGATGAGAAATTATTGTCTGCATTAACAGCTCTGTTCATACCATGTTCCTATATGAAGAGTTATGCAACCAATACATGCGATTTACCCATGGGTGTGATATGACAACATCACGACCTATATTTATGGGTACTGAAAAAAGTTTGATGCATAACTTACCATAGTGAAAGAACTGATCTCTTGGTAAGCTCCCAGTTGAGAAATATAAAGCATTGGACATAGCCTTGGTTGCTAGGGATCGCAACATGCCATTCACATTCACATCATTAGCATCAACACACTTGTCTAATGAATCCGCTAAGGTCTTACTGGTACTGCAAAAATAATGATAACTAATTAACTAATAATTAAATAAGCAATATATTAAAACTGTTCAATATTAACAATTACTTGACAAAAATTTAAGGAGCAACATCCTTGACTATGTTTAAGGATTGCCTAAAAGATCTTTTTACTGTTTAATTTGTCTTTTTTATTTATTACATTTTGTGTGTAATATTGCTCTGAAAGATTATTTTAGGGTGCTACGTCAAAAACCATTATTATTATTATTATTTCTTATTATAAGAACAATTATTAAAATAGCATTTTTACACATTATTTAAACATAACCTAAATGTTATCCTTTACAGGATAAACAAACAATGTCAATGATAATAATACCTTGTATCAACTTCAAAGCCTTTAGCCTTGGCACTTTCAACAAGCTGTTGGAAGTGATCTTGTCTCGGTAAAGGATGATAGCGTAGCTGCATTGAATTAAGTAAAATTGTTTGATTAATATATTACAATATCATATTAGTGATGTCAAAACATAAAAAAACATTTGAAAAAAAAATGTAACTATAGAGTTTGGCATATTATAGTACTTTGTAGATATTATAATTACAGAGGTTTAGAAAGATTATATCTTACCAAGGAGCATTGTGGGTAGGTTTCAACTATTCTTTTTGCAACCCAATGATTGGCAAAAATCATGCATTCAGCTATTGTTTCATGTATTTCCATGGTCTAAAAAAATACACAATTAACAAATAATGATTATAAGATATTACAGATCATCACATCATCTTGTGAGATACTGTAATAGAGAACAGTCTGTTGTGAGATTCATGCAGTGTGTGCTACTTTTGTGAGATTATGATATGCAGTAGTATATTGTGAGATTATCATTCACAGTATATTGAGATTATAGTACATAGTGTATTGTCAGTGTCAGAATAATATTGTGCACAATATACAGGGGCGCATCCAGAGATGTCCAAAAATGGGGGACCAAAAGGGGGGGGGGGCGCGAAACCGAAATTTGGGCCGATCGAGACAACAATGTCCTAGGGGGTCCGGGGGCATTCCCCCGCGAAATGTTTGTGTTCTAGACGCCTGAAAATAACATTTGAGGCGTTGTGGGCTATCATTTTTTTCTTAGGCCGCCACCCCCCCCACCCTAAATCCGCCTCTTGTATACAGTGTAGGATTGTGGTGCAGAGTATGTTGTGAGATTTATGCATAATGTTTCACTTTTCAGATTATGGTGCACTTTAGTATGTATTGAGATACATTTCATGTTTTAAAACAAAGCATGTCTTCAAATTATCAAACCTGTTTCGGAATCAAATTCTCAATTTCTTGTTCTTCATTTAGCTCCACCTTGACCTCGAGGCCTTCTAGTTGGACAGCGCCCTCTTTCACTCTGTTAGCTTTCAAATGTCTGGCAACATCCATAAGCTTGTCCACACTCCACTTCAATTTTTGAAGCCTAAAGGTTAAAAAATATCTATCAAGAAAGTCTGAAATGCAATCAGAATGTGAATTTAAAAATATTCACTACAGAGGAAAAATAAAAAGTGTATCAATGTATGTTAAAAGTTTGACAATGTTCTGTTTTATCAGCAAAAGTAAGATCAAATATTATTAGTTGAGTAAAAAAAAATCTGATAGTTTATGCCCGGCTTTGTTTTCAAACAGCAATATATTTTCTACTTGTTCTACCTCTTTTCAACAGCAGATGGATCCATGTTTTTGAGTTCTGGAATATCTGTTCTGACATCTTTCCCATCATGCAATGCCTGAGCTGCCTATGAAAAAATAAATACATGCACAGACATAAAACAGACTCATAAAAATCATTTTGCAAGGCTGATAAAAATCAGAAAATGTTTACATATAAAATATTTACTTACCTCATAGAACATTTTATGAGCTGATTTAATGATGGTCCTGCCGTACCATACATCATTGACTTGGTAGGAGTGGCTGTCGAGATGCCAGATTACACTGACTGCATAGCGGTCTACGCCACTAACCAATGAGCAGAGGTCTGCACTTAGGATTGCCGGTAGCATATCATATCGTCGATCAGCTAGGTACACTGTTGTTGATCTGTTACAAAAGTAAGTTATGAAAAAAAAGTTAGGATAAATGTAAAATACATATTTCTTTTATAATGGTCATATTTTTGTTCATATTTTACACCAAACAATAAGTATACCTTTTGGGTATTCCTGCCATTGCCGGTAGTAGGCTGACAATGTACACAAGCTATACCATCATGCTGGATAATTAGTGTCTTTACTCAGCAAGAAGTTCAAGCTACTGCTCACAGTAAGAATTTGACAACTCAAGGCAAAAATATCAAATACAACAAACATTTTTTTTTAACTCTCACAAGATCAAAACTTCAACAACTTAAAATGCTGCCTTAAAGTGGTTACAACCATTTGCGAATCTATTTACTCTCTTGTGCAGCACGCATTAACAGAAATATTGCACATCCAGGGGGAAAAAAAATCTGACTTAACTAATATGTGACTAAACTATTTTAGGAAACAGTTAATAAACAAGTTGAGGCAATACCTTTGCCTTGCTTCCAGATCAGTAAGAGAATGAGGATGCACAAAATGGGAGACATCAGCAATATGAACACCCAGCTCTAGTTCACCATTTGGAAGCTCTCTGAAGAAAAAAATACCCATCATTGTGATAAACTTGTATTTATTTAACATTGCTTTTCAAGCTTTAACTAATAAAAATCTCATACCATAAACCATGAATTTTAGCTCTATTAATACCATTTTACAACCGCAGGGGCCACAAATTTGAAGAAGTCACTTCCAGGAAGATCTGGTTAAATAAGTTAAAAGTTTCCCACACGAATAAAATAGACGATTAATGCCAACAAATTTTCACAAAAACGTGATGCAATAATGACAAAATGATTATTATTGTTTATTTTCGGTAAATATTTCAGCCACTCCAAATTTCTTTCCTATTCATCTTTCTTCCTACGCTTCTTCCATATTTTCGATAAATTCAATTTATTTTACTAAATACATATTTACGCATAATGTTTATATAAATATTATATATATATAAATAAATATATAATTTCGATACATAATTACATATTTTAACTAGACTCTAGAACTAGGCCTGTGTATACATTATGTCTGTATTTAACATATTTCAATCTCTGTCAAACTAAAGTCGAAGGTATGTCCTGGTCCCCAACCCTTTTATGTTCACTTGGATAGGCTTATCTTCATAAGACGTTTACGAACATACTTCTACGAATGGATACCTTGTTTGAAGCAGGAAACTCAGCTGTCTTTATCCAGTACTGCTCGTCTATATTATTTTTGTGGGAAACTTTTAACCTATTTTAACACATCTATCTTTATTTTTCTGCACGGCGGCGGTATCTATCGCCGCTGGCTTCTGTGAGACAATTTATCATAAGGTAGTAAAAACATGTAAATTTAATGAATCTGCGGGAGATGGGTTTACCAGGAGATTCTTGTTTGCTTGCAGGAGTGAGGGAGGTCATCCTGATTTCTGGCAGACTCCTGCGAAATGCAGAAGACATGGGAACCCTGTAACCAAACGCATGGGGTAAGTGATAATTAGCCAAGGCCCTAGAGTAAAAACAAAAATTGCCAATCAGCCCTGACTTTCAGAAGTCCCTGTGGTTGGGAAATGCAGCAATTGGCTTTATCATTATCAAAATTAATTGAATGTTACACCAAATTGCATACCTAATTGAGAGGGTGTCATCCACATCCTCACATCCTTTTGGATCAATACTGAAGATAAGTAAGTGTCGTAAATCCAATCTTTTGCTTATCTCCTGCTTTGTGGGCTTCCAGGGATTTTCTTTGCTGTTTGTTGGTAATTCAAGTTGCTGAGGAAAACCATAAATTAAAAAATTAAGACACAGTCAGATAATAAGCAGTAGAGCAATACACTGCGAGATATTAAATGTGTCGAGTGATGTACAAAATCACATGAACTTTATAACGTATTTATATATTTTTTATCTTTTCTCTTGTCTTTTTTGAATGTGTACAGTTTTTAAATGAAATTGGATTGTAAAATGAATGCTTAAAATCAGCATTTTGGGTGCCACAAAATTTGTATTTGATAGTGTTGTGTTTTGAAATAAAGATGCCGATAGATTTTTAGGGGTGGGGAACAAGTTCAAACGTCAACATTCTTTAAGCGACTTGAATATAAATATCCAATCTGAAAGTTTGAGTACTACTTCATAATCTGATCATTGTCTATTGAATATTGTCTGTTTAAAGTCTTTTAAACAAAAATCTGATGATATATGCCTGCCTTAACACCTGCAAACTAAAAAAAAAAATCTGATATAAATAAAATGTAGTGTACCTGCAACTCTGAGAAACCTGCTGCAGATAAGTGATGCTCAACCATAACAGTTGCTATTTCTGTCTCTAAATCACCAACTGGTCCCAACTTGCGAACCAAATGGCCGTTGGGATATTGAGAATTGGCTTCCCATGAGTCAATTCTAACCATAATTCTGCAACGTAAATCAAAGGTATGTTAAACACTGTTGATAATAACTGGTATTGGGCATTTCTTATTGTAACTTTCCTTAAAATTCTGAAGTGAGGACAATGTAACATAGAGTTTATATTGAGAAGAAAATTTAGTTAAGTAGCACATTCAAAACTCAAGTGAGTTTTTCATTTAATCATTAGGGAGGTTTCGCATACGTGTATTTTGACGGATACATCATCATTTATGACGTCATACGCTGGTTGCTAACCGCTAACTGTGTGTACGACATGCATATCTTGCTCACTACACGTAAGTGAAAAACGCGTAGAAAAATTTTGGATTTCTAGTAGGATCTTCATTTTTTTAAACATTTTACAAAGTTTACATTTAAGTTTAACAAATAAACGTATCTTTGAATACGTACCATTTTTGTGAATTTTTGAAGACAGCAAGTTACGATAGGATGCGTCTCATTTTTGGGTATTAAAATGTTGGTGCTTGGTGGCGTCGGGATTTTCATCTAGGCCTTGGCCTAGCTTATAGGAGTCTTATAATAGCCAGGCATTAAGTCATAAACAATACTTTCACAAGATAACCAACTCTTCTGGCAACAAGGGAAGGAGTATTATTCGGCTACCACTTTAAATTTTCAAAACTTTGCATACCAAAACTTTAGGCCATGCCAAAATCTGATTTTGAGAAGCATGATGAGAGAAGAAAACAGAATAGGCCTTGGACTAATGCCGTAGCCTTAAATTTCGCTGTGATTGTGATAAATAAAGAATAGCTAAAAACCGTTACGAATAGCTAAACGTATGCATACACGTACGTATGCGAAACCCCTCTATTATCAGAAAGTAAAATCTCATTTTTGATTTATTCAATATCAAATTGGCACAACAAATGTGAATAATAAAAAAAGAGACAATGAAAGAATGTTGTCAATGACGGTGAACATGCACCTTTGATATCGGACAAATCCTGAATTGCATATGAGCCCTGGGAGGAGACTTACTTACTTACTTTAAGCCAATTTGTATCCAAGGTCATAACCTTATGTTGTGTATATGTTTGTTTATGTTGATTGACATTGATATGGGCATAGGCAGTTCAAACTATGAATTGGCTTATTGATTATGATACATATAAGGTCAGATAAACATCTGAACTTAATGTAGCATATTATACCTAAATGTTATTGTATGTTCAGACAGTTATATTGTACATACAGAGCACACAGAAACCGAATTGAATAACCAATACGACCAGTTCTTTCAAATTTCAACCAAAATGCTTCAGACATATCACCTTTGACCTTGAAGACTGCTGACTTGGGATGTTGTTATCCTGATCTTAGGTATTCTGTAATCAAATGGAATTACTAACACTGCTTCTGCTTTTCCACTCTGAACGTTGTGTCTCTAAAAACAATGATGATAAAAAAAAATTTAATTTGCTTAGATATAGCCTTATTTTCCTACAAAATAACACAATTATTCATTCATTCAAATATATAATTTCCTATGAGAGCTAGCCAATTGAAGGAGTGGTTTGGCGCAACGGTTCTGCTTCTTAAGCTTGAGGTCAGCGGTTCAATCCCTCGCTGTGCATTTCCCTTGTGTCTTTGGGCAAAGGCACAAATACCTACTGTTGTCTCTCTCCACTCAGGAGAACATGTGGGTAGCTGGTACAGTAGGCTCAAACACAAAATGCGCTGATCCACAGCTGCAACAACATGAAATTCTCCCCAGGGAGCTAAATATGTGTTCGATATGTGCTCCAATGACCGGGGGTAATAATGTGAAGCGCTTAGAGGCCTTGTTGGCATGAAGTCCTATATATGTCTAACATATTATTAATATTTTTAAAAAGTATATTGTAAGCTGTATGTTGTAAGACCTTAAAAGCATATTTGATGAAAAACCCGGCAGCGGTTAATGAGATACATTGTTTTTAGTATTTAAAAACTGGGGGGAAAAAGGTGGAAAAAAGGGTGAAAAAAGGGTGGTTACGCCCTTTTCTCCCGGTTTTAACATTTTCAAAAATCTGTATCTCCTTAACAGCTCCCCAGTTTTTCATCGAATATGCTTTTTGTGTCTTAGAAAAATCAATTGTAAAACATATCAAAACATTTTTTCCTCCAGAGACTGGATTTAAATTGAATCTTAACAATAAGAGCCAATGTTTATGAATATTTCAGTGACCAGGGCAGCTATATAAAATTTACAACTTTTCACACAGATTTTCTAGAATAAATTAATATATCTTCTATAAATAAATTAGATGACCATTGCCTAAAATGGAAGTTGAAAGATACTGTACATGGCATAGTGTATCTTATTTAATCGGTAAAAATGTGGTTAAAATGCATGAGCAAAGCTCACGATAGAGGACATTTGGCTTAAGTAAATACTGGATAAAAGTATGTACACAATAAAACCAGTGCGATGTAATGCAAACTGTTGTGCAATTGAGGAAGTACAATTCAATTGATATTGTCATCATCAGTTGTATCACAATGACACTACCATGATCATCAATGTTATCATCATCATCATCATCATCATCATCAATATTTTCATTATTTACCTCTTCCTTCGGTAATGTTGCCACATAGTCCCTCCAATTTCTTTGAATAATTCCAACAACCCTTGCAGTTGGTAGACATTCCTTCTCTTCACAATCATCTTCATTTTCATTATCTATAAAAGCAAATAAAAACATCTTTACATTCAGAGAAAATCTACTACTTTAATGATAATAGATAATCATAATTATGGTGAAGAAATGACATCATCATTATCATCATCACATTAACCCAGATCACTAAATACCTGATACTTAACTTGATTATTTTATGTAAGGGGTAACAAATTATAGGGCAAACATATAGGGCAAACTTATAGGGAAAAGATTAGAAAACATTGATTGGAATGTTACTTGTTCCTGTCCTAGCGATTGTGACCTTTGGCCTCGCAACAGGTTCAGCATCTTGTTGAACACTCTATACACATAGTCTCGAGCATGATGCATGACACTCCTGCACTTAAATCATTATTTAATGTCGCACTTCTACTTTAAAATTTCTCATGCATCCTAAAATATGTATAAACACATAATTTATACCCCCAAACATTCATAAAACACAGTAAACTACATAAATACTCAAAATTCATAAAAATTTTAAGATCGTTAATGTCACACGTCTACTTTAAAATTTCTCATGCATCCTAAAATATGTATAAACACATAATTTATACCCCGAATCATTCATAAAACACAGTAAACTACCTAAATACTCAAAATTCATAAAAATTTTAAGATCGTTAATTAAAGAGAGCGCATCTGCATGCAAATTCTGTAATAACCATGGTAGCAAATAGGACACGATCTCTCAAAAACGATTATTTTCCTACGCTTCTTTTTACTGAACATCAACGCTTCTATTTGTTACACATAAATTGTAGAGAGCATTATCTTGTATCTATAGATCTTTGGTATTTGGTAATTAGAGAAGCTGCTATATACAAATTTTAATTATTTTGTCTCCTGCAAACAGTGACTCCATGTTTTATTTTGCCTAATATACAGTATAGTAGTAAATGCAAAATCGTTGAGTCATGAGTAATAACTAAAATATGAACCATATGGGGTGAAGTGGTGTAAATAAATCAATACTAGATACAAGATAAAATTTTATGGGATCAGGAATTCCAATAATTTTATATGTTTATTTTTTATACAATTTTTATGACATGCATCAAATAGCAAATTCTCTAGGATAAATATTTAAGTTATTATGAAAGTTGCATTCATCCTTTTTGAAAAAGTAAACATTCTGAAATTTTCATCTTGTAAATGGCCGTTAACAGGTGGTTGTGGCCATTGACCTTAAGCACCATTTGCGTAACAATGATATGCAAATGCTACCAGTTAAGAGCAGTTGGGGAAAAAAGATAGAACAAAAAATGATTGAAGTAATGTTATTCACTCTCGTTGGTATTAATAATTCATCATCACTTCAACATTTTTATTATACTACAAGTGCAGGTATTACAAACGGTATTGCAACTTCAAACAGATTCTATTTATTAGCAAATTCATGTTCCCTTCCTGTCTTTTAATATCAACTGTTTGACCGGAAACAATTTTTTGTTCTTTTTACATACTTCGTGATATGAGATTAACACCGGAAGTTCATGAAGTCTTTTGTGATTCAAATTGGTTTCAATATTGACTTTAATTTGTGAACATTGCACTTTGAGCACAGTACACGCAATGTAACCATAATGCGTCTTCTACAGTACACACCAAGAGCTCTAGAAAAAATACTGTACATATCTAATATCAGGTAAAAATTGTTAGTCATTGATTTCGTCTCCAAAGAGGATGTATGTGTAGTACGCATCGAATCGACTCCGTGTGAAAAAAAGTTTCTGACACGTGAGTTTGAATTGAACTGAAGCACAGGAACATAATAACAAAGGAACAATTACCTTACCTTGTTTGACTGACATTAAGACAAGCAATTTAAGCTGAGCAGTGAAAAGGTTAGAAATATACTTTTATTTATCATGATGGGGGAAGTTGATTTGCATATGATTTATATTAAAATGTTTCATAATTTCTTTCATATCCAATAGCAAGGTTTTTTTCAACACATTCAACACAATATAACTGTTATATTCTTCATTAATTATTGTTGCCTTTTATTT